GGTAGAACAGTAAATAAGGAATATTACCTGCAAGTTATGCGCAATTTGCGCGAAGCAATCCGCCAGAAACGTCCGAATTTGTGGAAAAATAAAAATTGGCTTTTGCACCATGATAACGCCCCTGCTCACACATCGTTGCTTGTGCGCGAATTTTTGGCTAAAACCAACACAGTAACGATGCCACAGGCACCGTATTCCCCAGATCTGGCCCCCTGTGACTTCTTCTTGTTCCCAAAACTGAAGGGGCCCATGAAAGGACGGCGTTTTGCCACGATTGAGGATATAAAGACGGCATCGAAGGATGAACTAAACAAGATCACAAAAAATGATTTTTTGAAATGCTTTGAGGATTGGAAAAAGCGTTGGCACAAGTGCATTATATCCGAGGGGGATTACTTTGAAGTAGATAAAATAAAAATTGATGAATAAATAAATATTTTTTGAGAAAAATAAAAATTCACCTTACTTTTTCATCACACCTCGTACATTACTGGCTTAACTCGTGGAGAATAGTAGTAAACGAGAGAAAATCAATACACACTACATTTACTCTTTGGAAAGACACCTGTTCACCTATTAAATTAAATGACAAATACATTCCTCAAAGCGAGCAGTTAAAATATTTAGGTATACCCTTGAATCGAATGTTAACATGGAAAAAGGACATATTTACTAAAAGGAAAGAGTTAGAATTAAAATGGAAGAAAATGTACTGGCTCATAGGAAAAAAATCGGAACTGACAATCAAAAACAAACTTTTACTATACACAGCTATACTCTATGATGTTCTTATCACTTATAATTCATTCAATAGTTCGTACTCTCGTGGTCTTGTTGCGTTAATGAGTAAGAATTTGTTTCTTTCAATATTACTCTAATTATTAATATGAAATAAATCATCAAATTATGTATATAAGTATATAAGTAAAATTTCAAGGAAAAGACAGACTTCGTCCTAGTTTTTTATGGTGAGAATTGACCATAAACAGAGCTAAAGTCTTTCTTATAAAGGATATAATTCAGCCCAAGTTTCATATAGCGCGAACTGTTCTATAAGTTGAGCATGAATTACAATAGAAAGTGAGAGGATTTGCTCAGTTCATTATAATAAGAGAAAGAACTTAGGTATTAGCCAAGATTATTCAATTTCATGCGCTCAATGTGCATGGCTAGCAGTGAATGCTAGCCTGTGCAAAAATCAGCGTATCTATACACAGATTTTCCCGCCTATTTTCGCAGGAGCGTTCTTTTCGAATCTTCGAAAATGATTCGCAATTTCTGAGGAATGAATTTTCTAAATTTACAAGTAAATAAACATTAATACAAAAGTTTTAAAACATGTAAACTTTACAAAATAAATTATTGATCGTTTTTGTATGATTTATAATTATCACAAATAGTATCGTCAAAAGTTATTAACTAATAAACTTAATTAATGTAATATCATCGTATTTACAATAAAACAATATTAAAATTCTACATAACTATATAGTTTATCAATTGTAGAAGTAATTTCTAAAAAGATATACTTAAATTAGTTAATAACATTTGAATTATAACAAATTTTCATATTTGTATCGGTTTTTTCTATAATCTTATAATACAATTACTAGATTAATTAACTAAGATTTATAAATTATGAAACTGTCATTATTATGTACGAAATTAAGCTTTCTTTCTATATACAACTTAACGTTTAAATAAATTATTAATTATTTATTTATTAATAACAGTTATAATTAAACTGTTATTAATGAAACCAATTCTTACTCATGCTACTTAGATAATCATCACTAGTTTAGAGTATCCGCATTATTCTGATAATTAATATTTACAATGTAATAAACAAATTAACTTTTCATATTAAAATATAATATAATTAATAATTAAACGCAATTAAAATTATTTGTAACAGGGTGGATTAGCTAGTACAAAAGGGGTTTATTTAAAAAAAACTCCCACCATGCAGAGCTAACCGCCGCTCCGTACGTATGAGTATACGAGGTGTGATGAAAAAGTAAGGTGAATTTTTATTTTACTCAAAAAATATTTATTTATTCATCAATTTTTATTTTATCTCCTTCAAAGTAATCCCCCTCCGATATAATGCACTTGTGCCAACGCTTTTTCCAATCCTCAAAGCATTTCAAAAAATCATTTTTTGTGATCTTGTTTAGTTCATCCTTCGATGCCGTCTTTATCTCCTCAATCGTGGCAAAACGCCGTCCTTTCATGGGCCTCTTCAGTTTTGGGAACAAGAAGAAGTCACAGGGGCCCAGATCTGGGGAATACGGTGCCTGTGGCATCGTTACTGTGTTGGTTTTAGCCAAAAATTCGCGCACAAGCAACGATGTGTGAGCAGGGGCGTTATCATGGTGCAAAAGCCAATTTTTATTTTTCCACAAATTCGGACGTTTCTGGCGGATTGCTTCGCGCAAATTACGCATAACTTGCAGGTAATATTCCTTATTTACTGTTCTACTCTGTGACAAGAACTCATGATGCACCACGCCCCTGCAGTCAAAGAAAACTGTAAGCAAAACCTTTACATTTGATCGAACTTGGCGTGCTTTTTTTGGTCTTGGTGATCCAGAATGCCTCCACTGGGACGATTGAGTCTTAGTCTCGACGTCATAACCGTATACCCATGTTTCATCACCTGTTATAACCCTGTTGAGTAAATCTGGATCATCGTTGACGTCATTCAGTAGCTCTTGGGCGATGCTCACGCGACGTTTCTTTTGGTCGAAATTGAGCAATTTCGGAACAAACTTCTCTGACACACGTCTCATGTCTAAAACACTCGTCAAAATTGATTGGCACGAATCAAATGAGATGCCAATATCATCAGCAATTTCTCTAATGGTAATTCGACGATTTCCCAACACTATTTTCTTGACTTCTTCAACATTCTCATCAGTTGTTGATGTGCTGGGGCGTCCAGAACGAGGTTCGTCGTCGGTGTCTTCTCGGCCTTCTTGGAAGAGTTTATACCACTTGTAAACATTTTTTTGGCTTAAAGTAGACTCACCGTATGCCACTTTCAGCATTTCAAGTGTTTTGGAACATTTGATTCCATTTTTCACACAAAATTTAATGCAAACTCTTTGATCCATGTTTTTAGACAGCAGCAAATCGTGGAGCACGCAAAACACTTCTAACCTTGATGCCTCTCACAAACAAACCAAACATACTACAAAGCTGAAATTTGGAACGTATGTTCTAGACGAGTGTACCGACATAACCAAACAAAAAAGTCGAAGATCGAACGGACGTAGCCCGCTAAATTTCAAAATTCACCTTACTTTTTGATCACACCTCGTACCTGTATTCGCCTTTACGTTTGATATTTTCGTTTAGATGTCTTCTTTCTAACAGAGTTGAACTCACCTTAAGTCACCTGACATGTGACACTCGATCTATCTTAGGTGTGAGTGATCTAATGTTTATTTCAACTAATCCTCTAGATGAAATCGGTTTAAAATTTAAACGGTGATAGATCCGTTAAACTAATAAGAAACGAAATAACGTAATGCGGCGAATAAAATTAATATCGTTTATCTCTAATAAACTACCATTTTTGACGGGCTGAAAGACTAACGCACGCGAATAGTATTTACAATGATTAACAATAATACGGGGAGAGAGTGAGAGAGAGAGAATTTAAAACTGTACCGCGAAAATTAACGCTCGACGCGAATACAAAAATAATAGTCGCAATAGACAAAATATTCACGAGAATATTCTCGTGAATATTTTGTCACGCAGACAAAGGGAGGTGCACCTACCCTGCGGTGCAATTACGGTGATCAGCCGTAATTGTTGAAGCAAATTGAATGATGGTAATCCTCTGGAACAAGCTGCGCTGCCTCACTTGCTTCCAATCTGCTGTTGCTGCACTTAATGTTGCTATTTGCTTGCTGCTGCTGTGATTGTCTCTACGATCACTCACGCACGTATCCAAAAGAATCCCAGGAAAATTTTTATTAGCAAAATGGCGAAACACTGTGCATAAACTATTTGGCGGTACTCTACAAGTAACAGCTGAGGCTTAACTGAAAACTTTGAACTCTCGCGCGCCCTCTCTCTCTCTCTCTTAGACGTTCGCTCTAGTATCGTTAGTGCTATTGAATCGCGAACGTATCGAAAATGTCGTAATTTTTGTTTTGACATTCGCCCCCCTATAGACAAGGGAAACATGTTAGTATAATTTTAATATACACCATTCAAAAGTGCGTGAATAGACCTTTCAAATGAGCCGCTACAAAGTTCTGTAGATTTATTTTTAGTCGAGATATGGAGTTTCAAAGTTAGAGTCGTTTTGTTTTCGGGTGGGCAAAGATTATTGGTCGTGAATGTAGGTAGTTTTACTTATTAATTATTAAAAATAAGAATTTAAACTGACATTGCTATTCAAATAAATAGTCGAGGTTAAATATTTAATTAATATTATCAATAAATATTTGGCACTACGAGCCAAAAATGCAATAAATATATAAAAATGATATAACTTTAAATTTCAAGTTGCATAAGTATAATCAAATTATTTATTAGTTTAATTTAGTGAAATCGTATAAAAATTAAAAATGAATTATTATCGGTATTACAATATCAAACTAAATTATAAAATATATTTAAAGTTTTTGTGAATATTTATTCGAATAATTTGTTTAAAAAGTTAGTAATAAATATACATTGTCATGCAATTTTTGATCGTGATAATCACAAATACAAACTTTTACTCTTGAAGCCTATTTATTTGAAAGGTATCTATGTTTCACAAGCGGTTCGATTTTTTAATACAGGAGATATAAAGTCTTGTAAGTCCTGATCAAAAGCCGATGAAATAAAACTGAAAAACATGTATCTCTTTATTTTTACAAAAAAAAAATTTTCTAAAATTTTATTGATATCGAAATTTTTACGGTCATTCACTTTTTTTGTTTGTAAAATAAATAAGAAAAACAAAGCAATAATGAATCAATATTGTATTGTTACAGGTGGAGAAATATGTCCACGACAAGAGGCTCGTAATCTTATATGGAATGCAACACGTCTTGGTGAGGTGGCTGTGCAGAGCTGTCCAGGCGGCGCTAATGGTCTAGCAAGGTGGCAATGTGTTCAAAAAACAACGGAAGGTATAAAATTAGTAGTTGAGTGGCAACGAGGATCGCCTGATCTAAGCGAATGCCGCAGTGTATGGTTATCTTCGCTTGAAAAGCGAGTGCGTGAAGGCGAGTTAATTCTTGGGGTAAGCAGTGATCTCAGTCAAGTAACTAATAATAGTCGTGAGCTCTATGGAGGTGACATGCTTATCACCACTAAGATTCTACGCAATATGGCTGAACGTATGGCTCAAGATATACGTACGTACGGAGATATGAGACAGCGCGAAGCTAGTGTTGCTGAGCTTCTTCAGGGAGCTGTTACGACAGGGAGCAATCTTCTTGATCAAGCACAAGACTCTTCTTGGAAAGATCTTACTCATCGCGAACAGATGGAAGTCGCCACTTCACTCCTCATAGGTCTTGAAGAAAATGCGTTTCTGTATGCCAACACACTTACTTATGAAAACTTTGTCCTTCATGAGCAACGTAATATTTGTAAGTGTATTTTATTGAATACTTATTTTTCTGTCAGTATTTTCTCAATCGAAATACGTTATTCTTATGTCTGGCAAGAGTAATTGAATAAAATATAAAATTTCATGTTGTAGAAATTGATTTTAACAGAGTGTTTGTGATTGTACATGTAATTTATTTATAAAAGAGATTTAGGTGACAAATGTTCCGACTTTTAAAAGAATTGTGCCTATTTTATTTTTTGAGCAGCAATCCTAATGACGTAAGAATGAATGAAATAAAACCAGTGCATGAGTATAATAATTTGACGTGAATATACATTTCATAAGTATACCTCTTTAATCTTTGGTACAAGAATTTGGTTGACTGGAGTCGAGTACATTCGAAAACCGAAAGTGCAATTAATCACTCGTTAATAGTTTGACAACTTATTTATATTTTTTAATGATTTTATTTATAATTTGTCATTAATTAATAATGAAAGCTTTATTTCATTATTAACTAAACCAAGTTCATTTCCTTACATTATGACAGAATACATTTACAGCGTAAAATTGACATATTTCGATGCTGATATATTAGTATTAACTTCTTTGTATATGATTCAAAGAACTTTAAGAGCTCAATAGTAGATAAACAGCAATACGGCTTGGTTTCATGTCATTGCTACTAAAAGCATTTTACATTTGCAGTGAGTGGAGAGGGGTTGGGGGTGAGTAGGCCGCGCGCACGAAATCTCCTCACCACAAGCCTCGGGTGACTCGTTTCCCCGACTATATTTTAAGGATTTGGGTTGGGTTCGGGCTTGGGTTCTGTGTAATGATAGTCATCGTGATTTCGAGTCAGAATCGGCACAGAGTCGGCTTTGCCCGCGGTTCGACTGCATAGACCGGGTAAAGTGTTTAAATTCGGTTTTCTGCGCCTTTTCGTTTACTGGAGCCACCTCCGATGTCGTCCACTGGTCACTTGTCGTCCTTCCAACTGTTCCTTTTATCGATGATGGAATGCCGAGCAGCTCGGGTAGCGACTCTTTCTCTCGGGTCAAAGGTCCGTTGGATATAGCACATACAGTTACTTAACGTATGGAGTTTTTGATTAAGCCCTCACCACAAATCCGTTAGCGGCTCAAAATAAAAGTCAGTATACAAGAGTGAATTGGTCAGCGAGGCGGAAATAAACGGAAAACCAATTAATTTCATTTTTCTCTTTATTCTGCAAGATCAGATATACACTCCTGTTCGGAAATGGCGGATAGACAGCGCGCTTCGGTTTGCTATTCTGTTCACTGCGGTGACGGATCCACCCGTCTCGGTGAATCTAACACGCGACGAGTTTTGCGCACGATTACTTAATTCCGCGACGGCGAGCGGCACTTTAGCTACTTGAGTTGTGGTGACTTCGTCTTCCATAACTCAGCAATGGGGATCTAATTTCCTACAACTGTGCGTGTCGTGTCCAGCGGCAAAATGGACCAGCGGCAGCTTTTCTCAAAAGAAGATGGTCGCCCTCACCTTCTTCCGAGAAGAAGTCAGTTAATTAATGGATATATAAATTCGGAAAGGGGCAACGCCTTCCGGTCATCTCCTCCTGCCCCGCTATTTACCCTCTCACACTCCCCACCAGATCGGTCAGCATTGACTGACGAGAGAGATATATACCCTTACTTTTATCTCGGTGCGGACGGAAATTACAAGTTCTATTAATTAGTCTATTGGCCATGATATCATCAGCACATCACGTTCAAATTTTCAAATTTCTTCAGCTAACTATGTCGATTAGTTTACTCTCGCTGCCTGTCGCTTTTGGATACGCATAGAGTATTAGCGAGTGAAATAAATTCAATTTATTTCGCATATAAATATAATAAAATATATTAATATAACATATTAATATAATATATTTATTATATTATATTTTTATATAATAAATATATTATAATTTATATAATATATTTATTTCGCAAATAAATTGAATTTTTTCACATACAAACATTGAGCATTCGTAAGTTTTCTTTTCGTAAGCGCCTTCACAATCAAATTCACGTTCGAATTATGGACCACATTTACCGTAACTCCTAGTTCACTTGTCATAGTATATCAAATTACATTTAATTCGCAGTAATTCGCATGCGCGTACAATAAATTCAAAAGTTGTCACTCAGTTACATGTGTGCGCCTTTAGTCGTTTGCTGTCTTCTTCTGGTCACTCTGTCTTTCTCTCTCTAGCTCGTATTCCTTCTCCGTCTCTAGTCTATCTACTTGTTGCGGCTCACCAAAATGGCCGCCGCCGATCGTACACGTGCCACTTCGCTCCCAGCGCTGATACTAGGTTTCGCCTCCTGGAGCGCTCGATCGTTGCTCCAGTCGCGTATTTCTAATGTGTTCGTGTGTTTCTAAGTGGGAACAACGAGTTTTTCCTCACCGAGTGTTAGTGTGGCGCTTAGGATGCCGTTCATCATCATCTACGAGCAACCGAAGACAGTTCATTGTTAACTGGTCATATTGTCCGCTTGAAGAGGTGTTTCTAGCAGCTGAGTGACTTTATAGCATTGAGAGAAAGTGTATTAGAGTGTATGTCCTCTGTTGTCTCGCGTTTTTCGTCACGTTTATTTTCCCTCTTCCGCGAGTTTTTGTTTTTCCGCATTTGCGTGTCGATTCGGGGTTGAAAACTCACCGTTTTTCCATTGGTTGGCACGTGTCAATTATATGGTCGCGAATTATCGCCGTTTTCTATTCCGTGGCGGTTGTCAGGGTGATGCAGTGTGCGTGCAGTCCTTTATTTTTCCTCTCTCATCAGCTGCTTTGATTCGCCGACCATCGGACCGCAACAGCTTTTGTAACGCCATTTCCTCGGGGGTAGGTGGACGTTTTCTCGTATAATAAAGTATTTCAGTTTTATTAGTTGTTGGTTGAATTTATTTCCGCGGTCACGTGGCGGGGAAAAGTGTGGTGGTGCATTCGATAATTAACCCATTAACGCTCACAGGACGGTTTTTCGAGACCTGAGTTTGAACTATTCTCATGTCATGAATTCTCGTGGAAAAAATTCAGGAACCATTGTTTCTTATGTTTTCGAGTGTCCTCTTTCCAATGATGCTGGTTAAAATTGTCGCTGAAAAACTTTTACGGTCCAAAAATCAAAAATAAATAAAAAAAACATGATTTTCTGATTTAATTTTTTTTTAAATCGACTTTTCGTTCCCTAAGCATTTTTTTTTAATGCCTAAAACCCTTATAGATCGCGGCCTCGAGGTTTTAACTACAAGTTACTATGGTTCTCCGGATATGAAAATTTTTCGTATAAACAAAATGGCGGCCGAAGTTAAAATATTTATCTAAAACTTTACAAATTTTTTTCTCGAATACTATAGATTTTCATGAAAATTTTTAAAGAACAAAAATGTCTTAGAATTAGTTATAAAATACTCTCAAATTTTTTCAGAATCATCCGAGAAAATTTTGGGATTTCGGAGAAGTCTCTGAATTGAAAATTTAAAAATTATGTCGGAAAATTTTGAAATAATTTGAGAGCGTTCTTTGTTTGTTTTTAAGACATTTCTATTCTCAGAAAAACTTTCGTAAAGTGCATGGTTTTTGGTAAACAAAATATTTATTTAGCAAACTTTAACATTTTTTTTCTCGAAAAGTATACTCTTTAGGAACATTTTTCTGAGAATAGAAATGTCTTAAAAACAAACAAAGAACGCTCTCAAATTATTTCAAAATTTTCCGACATAATTTTTAAATTTTCAATTCAGAGACTTTTCCGAAATCCCAAAATTTTCTCGGATGATTCTGAAAAAATTTGAGAGTATTTTATAACTAATTCTAAGACATTTTTGTTCTTTAAAAATTTTCATGAAAATCTATAGTATTCGAGAAAAAAATTTGTAAAGTTTTAGATAAATATTTTCACTTCGGCCGCCATTTTGTTTATACAAAAAATTTTCATATCCGGAGAACCATAGTAACTTGTAGTTAAAACCTCGAGGCCGCGATCTATAAGGGTTTTAGGCATTAAAAAAAATGCTTAGGGAAAGAAAAGTCAATTTAAAAAAAAAATTAAATCAGAAAATCATGTTTTTTTTATTTATTTTTGATTTTTGGACCGTAAAAGTTTTTCAGCGACAATTTTAACCAGCATCATTGGAAAGAGGACACTCGAAAACATAAGAAACAATGGTTCCTGAATTTTTTCCACGAGAATTCATGACATGAGAATAGTTCAAACTCAGGTCTCGAAAAACCGTCCTGTGAGCGTTAACGGGTTAATGCACCGCATCACAAGTGCCATTCAGTGTGCCAGTGCAAATACGACATAACAAGTTCAATGTTCGGGGCAACATAAATACTATATTTTATACAATATCCTTGTTTAATTTAAGTAATGGTTATAATTGCATTTTGAATATAACCTATTCTATACATCAAATTATTAGACAGCAATAAAAGCAGAAAAATTTACGAATTCTTGTTCCGATAGAGCTTCAAACCTTCTATTACTTGATTAAGGATAATCCAGAAATCCGAAATAATTCTTCAATTAGTTTCAAGGTTCTACATACGATCAAATATGTATCGAGATCCAAGGTCTAGGACAACCCTAGAGGTCAGATAAAGGTCAAACATGTGTTGTTAGGGAAACATCTGGAAATGTCGCAGGCTTAGTAAAAGACATAAATGACAAATTTTTTTCAAACGAAAACATTTATTTTGAATATCGGCAATCAAAAATTTTACGCTGTGGTAATTTGTAGATTATAAAGGTCAAATCCCTATGGTATCAGTATTGTTGGAAACACAGCTTGTACAGTGATTTTTGGTTATCATTAATCACGAACTTAATTTCCAGATGTTTCTTTCTTTTGGCTTCTTTCTTTCTCTCTCTCTCTCTCTCTCTCTCTCTCTGTCTCTGCTTAGCCGCACTTGCGTATATATATATTTCTTTTCTTGTTTATTGTATCGCCCGTGTTATTGCGAATAAATACCTCGTTTACTGTTCTCGCGGGATCTATTTTTAAT